AGGGGGAAAACGAGGGAAGTAATTACATTCTTGGAAGCCAGCTTCTTGCCATCGCAGGATTCCCTGTAAAAGAAGAGGGGGAGAAAGGAGACTAGCCAGATTGCTTTCTTTTCCCTTGACTGTATTTATTAAACTAAATTCATTTTTATTTAGTTTTATTTGTTTAAATTTATTTAAATTAAATTAAACACTCGACCTTTGACCTCTTTCCAGAGCACACCATAATCTTTTGAGACTGAAGGATGCCAATGATGAGGATGTATTTATTTAATAAATAAAATGTAAAAAAATAATTTCAAAAATAAAATTAAAATTTTATACAATAAATAAAATTTTAATATTTTTAAAAAATTACGGGTAGACTTCAACTTCCAGCAGTTCTTTCAGCGCCTGTCGGAAGTGACAACAGCACCGACATAGTGACCATTTCCCACACTTACGACCGTTGCAGCACACATACAGACCTGCCCCCCCCCATGGTCACATGATCAAGATTGGGCTGTTTGGCAAGTGACTCATACGTACGACCGTTTCAGGGTCCTGGGGTCATTGGGAACCTTCTGGAATATGTTATTGGCTGTTGTGATTCGCTTAGCGACGGTGGCAAGGAAGGTCGTAAAATGGGCCAACAATCAATTGACATGTGTCTCGCTTAGCAACATACATGTTGGGCATGTCAGTTGTAATTCTGCCTGGTTTCTAATGAGCTTCCAGGGAGTCCCTGCTGATGCCTCCCCGCCCCCTCCAACAAAGCCGGGGCCGGGGTCGCCTTGAGCCTGCGGGACTCCTTACCACTGGAGGAGCCGGCCGCCCAGCTGACGTCTCCAAGGGAGGAGCCGGCCCCACTTGGACAGAAAGGCCCTCGGGGGCTGTTGCTCAGGGCCGGCCCAGCCAGCTTCCCCAACCGGGCGCCCCCATGCCCGCCGGCCCCCCGGCGTTGCCACGGCAACTGCGCTCAAGGACCCCCTCTTCCGCGCTGCAACCGGCAGGGGGCGCTGGGCGGGAGGAACGCGGCTTTCTTAATCATAAAGAAAGCGGCAGTGACGCAAGTCAGGCCTGGAACGGAAACGGGTAGGCCCTCTAGGCCGCCTTGGCACTTAAGAGACATAGGGGCGGAGCTCTGCGGAGTGGAAGCGTCCCATTGGCTCCTTGCGGTCCTCTGGGCGCTCTGGACGTCACCTCTCTATATTAAGTGCCCCTCGGGCTGCGAGGAGCACCGGAAGAGGTGGGCCTGCGAGACTTTCCGGTCGCACAGGCAGTGTAAAGGATACTTGAAGGACTCTTAGTTTACTGCTCCGGTGGGGGAATAATGCCGGGAACGATGGTTCCGGCGCAGGGCTGCCCTCCTTGGCCGCAGGCTGCTGTCTTGAAGCCCCGAACGCAAACGGGGAAGGCAGGAATGGGGAGCGGCTCTTGCCAAGCTCCGCACCGCACCTGGATGCTCCAGGGACGCAGCACCATCCCCATTCCTTATGGGAGCAGGGCCGGAATTATTCTACTTGATTATAAACCGAGAACAAACCCCACTAGAACTGATGGTGTTACCTAGTTGGGTCATGAAACGTCTGCAAGTTCAGAAGGGTGTCAAGGACCCCTCATTTCAACCCTGAGCTACACGTGAGCCTTTATTGGCTTGTAACCTCCCATAACAACACCTCTTGCTGCAATAGTGGCCTATCACCCTCTGCCCCAATCATCCTCCCCCAGATTTAATCATAATTTATTTTTCAGCACACAACGTTATCTACAATGAGGTTGGTCGAGCGCCTTCAGTGAAGAAATCTCTACAGGTAGTCCTCAACATATGGCCAACGCAAGGGAGCCC